CCCCTTGTGGACCAAGTGCCTGACCTGGAGTGTGGCCTGCCAGCTTGCAGTGGTACCTGCACGCCGGCTTGGCCTTTTGTGTCTACCATTGCAAGAAAAAGGGTGCAAGGGGAGTGTGGAGGGTTTTGCAGCTGGTCCCTGGACGACCATCAATGACCCACTGACCTCGACGGTCGAAGGGACACGAAAGATTCAATCATGTCCCTTAACTTTGGAACGTGTTTCTCAGGGAACTGTGGAAATTTGGTATTTTCCATTAGATTAAGTAGGATCCTCCAAGAAACAGAATGCACCCCCTTGACAGATGAGCCCAGGAGGCCTTTGCTTCACTGCCCCTGTGGGATTTCTCATCGTGTTGCTCCGGGTCCTCTTGCGTCCTTGGCGAGCGGATGCGGATTGGTTCATGTTGGCCCTGGGTGCCGTCAGCTACTTCTTTGCGCGGAAGATGAAGCGGTGGGGTGGCTGGGGGGTTGAGGTGAGTTCGCGCTAACCGCATGAGGGGGGGTTGGGAATGGTGAGGTGAGAACAGGTCAGAGGTCAAGGGAAACACTCGACCTATGTAGTATGAAAGCGGGGTTTCAGCAGACATCAACAAGGATAACACATGTTCAATGCAGGTCCGGGCACACGAGCGGGGTGCCATTGATCATCGAGGGAAAGCTGATAGTGTGGTCCCCAGTTCGGCGTTTGGTCAAAAGAAATGACACCAGCAAGTTTGTCCCAAATCTCCATGTATTGCATATTTACCTATATTGGGGTGAAGCATGGGGTGGTTGTATTGGTCGATGTACGCACACATGCCATAGATGGAGTGTTTGGGTTTATAGTTGTATGAACCGTGCGCGTTCCTAACTAGTTCAGGTTGGCGTGGGCCATTGTTCATGAACGTATTCCCTCTGGGAGGTCAGGGGCGCTGAGCTCCTGCACCGAAAGCACAAGACCTGCCCCGCTGCAGGGCTTTGCTTTGAGTGGTGTCCAGAATCGCCACTCACTGGGGGGTCGCAAGATCATGGCAACATGGAATTCTGGAAGAAAAAGGCACCACTCCCAGACCATGCATACCAAATATACCTAGATTGGGTTCATGGGCAGTCAATGTATGTAATGGCTATTCCAGTCCCGTGGATGGTCTGGGACTGTTGGTACACTTCGCAGGCTGATCATCTTCATGGCCTTACCTGCCTCCACCCTCACAGGCGTCCGTCGTCGCGCGTCGCCAATCGCTCGCGTCCGGTCCGGAGTCGCCCGCGAAGGACCGGACGTTGGCAATGAGAGAACCATGTGTTCTCGATCATGATAGGACCATAGAACAGAACATAACTGACATCATGTGACATCATCTGGACATCATTAGATGGTGCAGGTCGATGGTTGATTGATGGGCAGAGAACATCAAGAGGGGAGCTCCCACAGCGACTGAAAGTTCTTCATCACAAGGTGTGAAACGCACCAACGTCTGATGAACGCACGTTCGCCTCTATTTACGAGAAGGAACACATGTGGGACCCATGTGAGCCCGGTAAAAAAGACATCCACATGCTTCCACATACGGCATGTAATGCATGCATGCCTATATATATATATAGATCATGATTTATCAATTTGTATGTTTTAAATTGTACTAGTATTGATACCTGAAACCACCCGGGTAACACATATATGGAGGATTTTGGGGGTTGTTTTGGTCACTGGGTGTGGAGCAGTCGCAGCTAGCGCGAGTTGAACTGAAGCTGCCAGTGCCCACTACCTGTTGGACCAACTCAAAGAAGGTCTTCCGTCTTCCGTTGATTAAACATGCTTAAACGGCCTTTTTTCAGGTGCCCAAGTGTCTATAAAATTACCAATTCCCAAACCGCATGGCACTGGAATAGTTGACTTGCATTGAACATAATACCAAAGTCATTCTTCCAGTCCCATGAAGCCAGAGACCTTCACACTCCCAACGGCTTTCGTGCTCGACTTCGCCCCGAACGGCGGCCTCCGCGCGCCGAACGGGGTTTCGACGGGTTGGCGGCCGCCGTCGAAGAGGTTGCGCCGTGGCGTTCCTCGCCGATGTCGCCCTGGCCTCCGCCGAGTTCCGCCTTGGACGCTCCGAGCACCGCCGCGGGGCCTGGCTGGACCAGCCAGTGCCGCGGCTGCTGCGGCTGGCGGCGGTGATGGGCACGTGTGGCTGTGGCGAACAATGGGGCTGAGCTGTGAACTTTAAGATAAACAATATGTTCCATGATGTTCAATGCCGAATGGACAGATTTGTTTGGCACAGGTTAGGATTTGCTTCAATAACATAAACACGTGTATTGAAATTCAACTCGATTCACGATTTATTTTATAATATATGTATGTGTGTTATACATTAATATTACATATTTCATATAATTTATATACCAAATTGTTTTGCGGGATTTGCCTTTACGTTTCTTTGCCTCTACCCAAGGCCCAAGGTGATCGTTTCACCGAGCAGAAGCAACGATCCATGGGACTGGAAGAGGAACACCGACATGGACTTGTTGAAGGAAGCTTCCAAACCACCCTATAATTGGTGTATGTTTGCAACTAGTCACTAGTCCGACTGCAGGCTTCCCTCTGAAGCTTCCGATGCTCCAATTGACAAACATGCTCGTAAAGCAAATTGCAAGGGCCAAGCAATGTCGAGGCTTCTTCCATCTTCTTCCAGCTGTCCAAAACCATACATATCTGACCAACACAAAGAAAGGAACATCACCAATGTGCATCCCGAATTCAGCTCACGCACTGAGACGATGTTTGAGAGGCTGCGGAGAGGCTCTGCTCCCACACCTCTTCCTGGCAGCCCAGCTGAGGCTACCTGCTCAAGCCCCAGGTTGAGGAGTTCTTGCATTTCTGCGATCACAAGGCGCCTACGGCGCTGCGCCCCCAAGCCACGCAGGGTGGCGCTCACGCGGGGTGCTCGCGGGCGGTCTGGCTGTTTGGTGGATCCAGGTGTGGAAGTTGTGCAATGACCTTGTGGGTGGTGACTCTTTAGCTTCTTCTGAGTGGTTGTGCTCTCTAACTATTGGGAATGTATTTCTGCCACGAACCCCACACTGTTAACTTGGGGGATGGGTGTGTCAGTCATGCTGTGTCGCAAAAACATAGTTCTTTGGGAGTGGATGCCTTGACAAGATAGCAATCATGCTGACCAGAGCAAAGGCACGGCATGCTCGATGCAGTGTCATTCGCAGCTGCTTCTCTTGACCTGAAGCTGTCTCTCGGCACAGATTCCCTCGTTGCCATTCCCACTTGGTCTTCCAGAGGCAAGTCCTAAGTGCATGCTGCCAACATTGGAATGCCTTCTGCTCGGAAACGATGGCCTCCATCGACCTTTGGCTGGAACGATGCTGTTACCGTTCGTCACCGCCGGTGGCACCCCATCCGCCAGGCGCGGTGGTCGTTGTCTCATCCACAGATCGTGACCAAGGCGAAGGACTGAGCCTCGCAATGGTCGTTGGGGTGGGCAGGAAGGGAAAGGAAGACATGTGGGACATGTCATGTGAATGATTCTGAATGGATGTGGCGCGTCGTTTGACAAAGGTGGGGGGAGGAAAAGGAACACTTGAACACTTCATATATGATATGATGTGCATTGATTTGCTGATAACTCTATCTTTCAATTTGGGCACCGGATCAGAGTGACCAGATCCTGCATTCTTAAGCACAAATCTTCAGCATCAATCAACATGGGGTGGTGGCCATTGTTTATCCTGTTCCAGGATGGCACGCTCATCGATGACTATCGACAGGCCTATGGCTGGCTGCGGCAGAACACGGCCTCCGACGCACGGATCATGGCCTGGTGGGACTATGGCGCCTTGGCGAGGACTGGTGGCCCCAAAACAGATCCGGTCATCCTGAGCCTGGGAGACCCAGTGCCTCTAGACTACCCATCCGCCTGTAGCTCGTGAAGGTTTCTTTCTTTCTTGAGACAAACATGATAACAAGTGCAACTGAACCCCACCAAAAAGAGCTGGTGAACATGAGCATTCATGTTTCAGAAAGAAGGGTTTCGTGATGTTTCGCATGCCCCCGCATATTACGTATAATCACAACTACGCGATGGATGTGCTTGCAAAACTAAGCAAATCTAGGAGAAGACCAGTTGACCTAGTTGATCTTCAACAATCGCCTTCCTAGTCACAGTGATTAACAACCACAGCCTCTCAAGCTGCTTCCGGCCGCTTCCCGTGCATCTTAAGCACAATCAATTGGCACAATTGGCATCAGGGCACGTGCCCAGTAGCTGCCGCCACCAGATTGTTTCAGGGAGACAATGAGCTTGCAGACTTGCAGATGTACGGGAGACGCATTGAAAAAATCAACTGCTGGAACACAGCATCGAATGTTCAATCTTGTTTCAGGTGCCGATGTTTTGACAAACCATGACAAACCCCTATGACATACCATCACTGCAGGTTATCAAATCGCCGGGCTGGCCAACCGCACCACCTTGGCCGACGGCCACTTGCCATCCGACCGGTCCGGCACGGGGTTCGGGCGGTCGATTCCCAGAGGCTCCGTGGGGAACTGGCTCCCATTGGCCGGCCAGAAACCCCACATGAAACACGCCCAATGGATGTCAATATGTTTGTCCCAGACAGGTCGTGTTCCCATATATAGATGGGCCATGTAAGTAGCTCATCCAGTCAGTTGGAAGTTGGATCAGGAGTACATCATCCAGCACCAACCATCCAATGGGCTTTGTCCCTTCCGAGTTCCGCGGCGACTGGCGGGACCCAAACGACCAGGACGTCATGGGTTTCCACCAGGATTGAGTGAATCCTCAAGTGGGTAAAGGTAGCAGAACCTGGTTGTGCCTTCTTTGGTTTGATGATTTTGATATATACTGTATATCGTATATTCTCGTATCATATGGTTAATAAATGTTAAGCAATATTTAGTTATTATGTTTTTTCCTCTCGAACTGGGTATTCGTATATCCCCTGGCTGCTGGACCATGTTATTGTTTTGTTCCCCCGGTTCCGGTGGCAAATCCAATGAGACAGACGTGAGCGGATCCACATGTATTGCATCCGGTCACACCCTCGCCTTCCTGGGCGAGGTCGGGGGTAGCCTGATGTCATACTCAGACACGAAGTATCACACAGTCGTATGAAATAAGATCCCTATGTTGTAGCTGAAAGTTTGCACTTGAATGCGGTTCCATGACGCTCGACATGTTTGTTCGCCGCTCCCCTGTGTACTGCGCAAGCTTGCCCAACTGAGCCATTTTGCGCCTTGGAAAAGCGCCGCGTCATGGGTTTGTTTTGATTTTGTGTCGAGGGCCGTTCGACACGCACAAATCGAGAAGTCGTTACCGCACAGACTTTGTCGTGAGTAGCATTTTTCTGCAACCCCTGTGTATAATTATGCCACACTGACCTGGAGTCTTTGGCATAGTCTTTGGGCGAATTCCACACTCTCCAAGTGAGGTAACACCTGGAACCACGAGCATATCGCCCTCCTGGGCCTGGCACTGTCCTCGCCGCAAGGGGAAGCTCACAAGATCGCTCGAGCCTTGGCCACGCGCGAGTGAAGCGTGAGGGACTGGAGCCGGGGGGAACTTCAACCGAGAGGTCATGGGTGTGTGTATTATAAGGGGACCCCCTGGCCCAATGGGTGTAGAGTGGTCCATTCTCCCTTCTTCCGGAAGTCTCACTATTTTCATAGACACCCATATATTTGGAACAGGATTTCAATTGGTTCAAGAAGGACTACTGTACTGATATTTCATGATGTATCCTGAGTCTTCTCTAGGGATCTTGGATTTTCTATGGTTTTGTTCAGGTGTGAACAGAATGTCCTACCAGACATGATAAAACCTAAGCTTTAGGGCTGCAGGTTGTGACCCACAGCGACGCTATAAACTGGTGAATCAATCACTTACTGCACGTAAGTCTGCCCGTGTCATGCCACTGGCTCTTACGTTCTGCCTCCGTCTTACTCTCTTCTACCAGAATATACCAGAATGGGGACGAGGAGGGACAATTCTACTCTTGAGCAACCACAGCTCCAGCAACCTCCGGTGTTTCTTTTTTGCGACTCCTCCATGTGACCTGTGTCCCGTCCAGGACACTTGGCTGACTATGTCTTGGTTTGGTCCGGCGGCGGTGGGAAGGACGACGTCGGGAAGTCGAAGCACATGGCGCGCATCGCCAACAGCGTCTACCGAGGCCACTGCAATGAGGCAGGGACCGCATGAGTCGCCGGCGAGCTACGGGGTCTAGCGACATGTCCGTCATAGATTGTCATGAAGCCATTGGACCATCTATGCATGGGGGAGATGTAATGTAGACGATTAATAAACCCCTCCAATTGAGGGGGATTATGGTCCTCAAGAGTCTACATGTTTGTCATCACCTGACCAGGACGACTGCGATCAGTATGGGATCTTCCCAGACGGCCAGCCGTGCCTTGGGCCTGCCGACCGTCGATGCAAAGAGATAAAGGAGGCTCCTGGAGGTGCTCGAGTTGTTGCGCTTAGGGTCAAAGAGATAGAAACATACCTAGATGCTCCATGGATCTCCACGGGACGGCCATATATGCCTAATTACATTGGGTTGGTTTGGGGGTCAATGTAGGCATATATTAATTCCATACATGGAGTGTATGGGATAGGAAACCACGATCATCTCTATGTTTGCTTGGTGATGGACTAGAACATGTTGGAAGAAACTCTCAAATTCCCGTCCTCAACATGTACTGTAATTTTGGCCAATCAGCAAAGCCAAGGAGCAAGATGATGGAAGCATCCTTGATCCTCACTTGCATCCAGTTCTTATTCAGGCCTCTCTGTGGTGGATGAAAACATGTCTTCCATGTTTGGACATAATTTGCAAGAAAGAAGGTGCAACAGGTAAGGGGGACACACTCCCCATTGTTTGGTGCCTAAGGACACTTCAACAACTAAGACCAACCGGTCCTGGGCACAATATAGAGTATATTGTTTGTCCTGGATGATGTTTGAACACTAGGACCTAGGGTGTGACCTCAAGCAAACAATTATATAACCTTTGCGACCAGGATTCATCTGGCGTTGCAAGGTTTTGGCCTTTTTGGAGTCCCCGGGGATCAAAATGTCACTGGGAAGCTCCAGGACTGTAGCAAAAGATTTTGACATGGTTTGACGTTTATACCCTGGAATAAGCTTGTACTGTAGATGTCAGAACTCACTCGGACAAACCTTTCGGGTCCACAGTTCATCCATGTTTGTTAAAGCGCAGAATAAACTTGTAGGTGTCAGAACTGACCACTCTGAACAGACGATCTTTGGATTCACAACTAGCCAGTAGGCCCGTAGGCTTTGCATGGAAGAACACAAGTTTGACTATACATGAGTTGCATCACATGTCCCCATCAACTTGCAGCCCGGCAGACCGGTCGACCGGTCACCCGGATACCTGACCGCCTTCCCAACGGAGGTCAAGTGAACCCCCGGGGCCCAACGTGTGAGAGGAGTTGGGTTAAAAAGGTATGGCATGGAAAGAGTCCCGCAGATCGTCTGGGCATGGGACTTGGGCCATCTCATTTCTGGATTCTCTTCGACCGGGGTCGCCTTGGGGGGTAACATCGGTCGAGAGCTGCATGCTGCTTGACACTCCATGGGACTGCCATATATTCCTACATTGACCCCCCAAAACCACCCCAATGGAGGCATATATGGCATACATGGAGTGTCTGGGTGCTGCTTGACATGTCTTCCGATCCCAGGCACTATAGTTCCCCACCTTGGGGTCATAAGTGGGGTCAATGGATGATGGTTTGCGGCCAATGGATGGATGGGCCATAATTAGATTTGTCACGGGCCATACATGCCATTTATCTAGATCTACCTATATATAGATCTATCTAGATCCATTTTGGAGGTGCATTGATTGAAGAATACCCTTATTGAAGAAGGTCCCAAGGTATATCCATGACATGGATGGTCATATATAATTACTCTACCCAGACACTTGCCGATCAGGCCAGGGGTGGTGCCATGGGGGTCTGTTTGGGGCGGCAGTTCCCCCTATGGCAGTCCGTGTCTGGGTAGAGGTAACTCTTCCCAGGTCCCATGGATGGTCGCCACGACACGCTCACGCTCCTCAGGGTGTATCGTCTCTGTGGCCGCGGCTCCCTGGACGAGCGCCTCTTCCGCGAGGTCTACGTCAGCGCCTCGACGTCCGACCCGGACCCTGCGGACCCAGTGGCGGTTGAAGTACTGAGTGGTACAGGTCCGATGTGCTAAGATACAGATGGCATCATTCAATTGACACATATAATAGATCATAGTATAGTTGTATAGCCAAGGTAATCAATGTACATCAACTACATACACCAGTCACTAGTAATTGACACATATCAGTTGTAGTCAATGTAATGTACATCAACTATATACGCATCGCGAAAACTAGTCGACGCGAGGTTCGTCCGTTCGGCGGATTCGAATCAACGCTCTCCATCGCTCCAAGGCCACCACCGCCGCGTCCGCGTGGCGCAGGTCCTCGACGTCTCTGCCTCGTCGCGGCGCTGGGCGGCGAGCGCGGAGGCCAAGCGCTGCGACGCGCCGGGAAGCTGGTGCTTCGGTGGAAGACGGGACCGCTGGTGCTTCGTTTGGAGGTGGTTGGACCGGTCGTGGACAGGTGTGGTGAGGACTAGTGATGCAGGAATCCATATTTGTGGTGATGTATTTGGTGGTTGCCCAGACATTTCAATCTGTGCACATCAAAGGTGTATTAGCAGCCCCTCAGTTTGGGTGGGGAGCACCTCCTCCGAAGTTTGATCTCTTTTGATCTAAAAGAAGCTATCTTCGGCAGGTGCTGGGGGGGTTCATTTTGGGAGGAGCCGATTTCACTTACTTTGGATGTTGGATCTTTTCCTGGGATGAGGAAAGTTTGACAACATTTTTCAAGTACTTTGTGACACCAATCAGCTGAAGTGGATATGTAGATTCCAGCTTGGTGAAGGAGACTGACCCTCATTCAGAAGAAACCAGTCATAGGCCCTTGAGAGTCCCCTTGAGCACTTTGAAGGCAGACTCTATACACCCCTACAAAAGAAAGACACACAAGTGTCTCCCAGACATGTTTGGAAGACACGTTTCAGTTGAGAATGATCACTAAGACCACTAAGAGTCACCAACCAAGCAATTCACTATATTACTTTCATTTACTTTCCATAGTGGATAATCCCAGACTCCTGCACCTATGCACCTATGTGAACATATCTGACATAGATCGATTGAACCATTCAAGATAGAAACACCCCGTCACTGAGACAGGTCTTAAGAATGAGACATGACGGTGGGCGGTTGGCGTGTAGGGCATGGATGCTCCACAGGAACGCCCTCCCTGGATCCGCTCTCCCCGTTTCGCACGGCCAGAGCTCTTCCACCGAGGTATTGCCCTGGCAGCTATTCGCCCGGGCTGCAAGAGCTCTTTGATCCCAATGCCACCCATCAGGACGGAGTCGGGGAACCTCGGCAGGGCGATGACATCGACATGAAGCGCGGGAGGTGGAGCGTGCGGAGCACATCGGGCCGCTTCTTGAAGGTAGAAGGACTCTGACAGTTTGGAGAGAAGTGTACCACTATAGCGGGCCCAGCCGGGGTGACGAGGTGGACTTTGAAATTATCGGGATGAATTAACATGAATTAACATTTTGTTTTTTTTTCCCCGGGGTACTTTGTTTGGTGGAGTATTGAGGTGTAGGACAACCAAAAACAACTTTTCGGGCTCCGAAAACATCCTTGACATGTATGCCAAGCATGATGGCTGGCACCCTTCGTGCTACCGTCTGTTTGTTGGCGACACACCCATGGGCGGCTGCTAAGCAGACAAGAGCACGCGGCCGTCAGTTTGGGGGAGGCTCCGACAGATGCCAACAAGAGGCAGTCAATTTCGGAAGACTTGTCCCCGCCTAAAAGGTGGAAGGATTGACCCTCCGATGGAGGGAAGAAAGAAGTCCAGCTGGCCGGACCCACTAATTTCGAAACAGAATTACCGGGGCGAGGAAATGAACATAATTCTAGGAATTAAGGACGGGGCACCGGGGTGAGAATTAATATAATTTGCTCAGAATGATTCTACCACACCAGGGATGGGTAATAGACGCCTCTCAAGCTCTAAATCAGCTATATTCATAGACACCTGTTGGGAGGTCCAGGCTTGTACATTGTTTTTTACAGACTATGAAGCCAAAGTGTGAGTGGTCGATGTTCTTGCGGCTTTGGGACCGTCCGACTCCGACTCTTGAATCCAGGAATCTTCGGTGTTTTTGTCGGAGGGCTTAAGGAGACGAGCACGCTAAGGAGCACGCTTACACGATCTTACACGCTTGCCTTGCACACAAGATACAAGAAGCAAGAACCAGAGGTACTGAAAAAAAATGGAGCCAGGTCCTTCTTGTGGTTTGGATGTCTCACCCCAAAGAGAGCCAGCAGTTTGATGTCTGCGTGCACACGATGTTTGTTGCTGTGCTGATGTCCACGCCCATATGATTTCTGCCGATTTTCATCCCAGCGTGCTCCATTCGTTGGATTTGCAAAGGGTGGGGCAGGACGGTACCCAGATCCTCCAGATGATGGGCCGACATCAAAAACATCCCCAAACACATGAGCTTCTTATTTAGGCTCTTTGCGCACCAAAGCTGTATACCCTTCCAGGTACCCGTGGCCGAGTCAATGGCTGGCGGGTCGTTTCGGTCGGTCGGAGGGCGAACGGGATCGATCGCAGGAGGCGTTGGATTATCAAGCAGATGCTTGGACAGCGATGGTTCGTGGGTCCGTTTCGGTCTTCGGTGTTCCTCACCAGGTGTGGGCTAGCCATGTGGAATTTCGAGTTTGGGCGTGTATTATAGGGCAAATGTGAGGTATCACACCAGGATGTTGCAACCATGTACTTTAGATGGACAGGGTCATTCATGCATTATGATGAAAACGTATGTAAACACATATGAAAACACGTAAAACAGACAAAGTACTTATAGAATGTGCATTGGATTCCGGATTTTATTGGTGTTTGATATCCCTAGGAACACGCCAGCACGTCCGGCACTCGATCATTGTCAGCACTTTGTCGGGGCGACGTGTGAGCGACTGCTCGGGCTCATCGACGATGCACCCAGGCCTACGCGACGCGCGTGCAGGAGCAGCTGAAGGAGAAACCATTACCCAATCAAGAGGGTTTGCCTCCAGGGAGTTCCTCGATATATGCGTTTTTTTTGCGGCGTGCATCCGGACCAAGCAAAATGGGGTTGTAGCGGGTACACCGTACACCCCACAAAATCAAAAGGTGGGTTGGTCAGGAGGTTTGGAAGACAGTGCTGAAATAGGTGGGAAAAACTGGCGAGATTTTGGGAGAGTTTCGGCAAAGAAGATCAAAGAAGACAAAACTTCCAATTTCAACCCTAAGCATTCTATATAGGCCAAACCCTCCTTTGGATGCTTTTAGCCTGTTTAGCTGATTCATCATTGAGACATCAGCTGCATCCTCCGTTCACAGGTGACCACTTCGACCGAAGGCGAACGAGGGTGGTCACAGGTGAATCCTGCCTCCGGGTGCATCATCCTGCCTAGCACTTCCTGCCTGAGACCTATAGCTATAATTAGGGGGTAGCCTAGCCAGGACACCCAGGCAGGATCATCCGGGTGTGTATCTTTGGTCGTCAACCCCCTTCAGAACGCCAGTGGTCAAGCGGCTTGACCCTCCTGGCGAGTCCGACCCTGTTCACTGTCGCACGGCGGCGCCCCAAACTCGGTCGTTCTTTCGAGTGGTGCCCTTGGGCATCGGTGCGACGGCCGTGACTGCCGAGGCTACTTGGATTCGTGTCGAGGCTGCTTGATCTCGGGCACCCGCCTCACCTGCAGCCACTGCCGAGCGCCTGGGTCGCCGTCCATTGCCTCAAACTTGGAGCGCCTCAGCTTGATGTATAAGAATATATCCAGCAAGGATACGGTACTGATTGAAAGGTCGACATAAGGCGAAGAATGGCGTTTCAGCAATAAGAAGGAATATTGATCACCCACCATATAAGCCCATTCCAAGCTGGGGAGCGAAGATATTCCTCTAGTCAGGCTACACTCCGAGTGATTCACATGGAAGTGGATGCCACCACCTGTTTGTGGAGGAAGAGGGCCTTTCAAGGAACCATGGTCCGCTTCCATGGCTGTATTACTCTGGGGGGTGTAATTCCCAGACGCTCCATGGGACTGCCATATATGTCTACATTGAACCCCAAAACCACCCCAATGTATGGCATATACGGCATACATGGAGTGTGTGTGATTTATACATTAAGGAACACTATAGTTCACGCGTTATACAATTTAAAATGCATGGTTTAAGGGCTTTGGATGACACATGAGGACATACAGTCGAACCAATCGGTTTTGGAGACAGGAGCGGACCTCACTTGACAATCTTGAGATGACAGTTTGGTGCTTGGGAAAAAACTGGCGGGGTGTCCCCAGACACTGTCAACCATGCTTTGCCGCTCTGCCCTGTAGGTACCAGAAGTGCCCTTTGCCTCAGATCAACAACATCCAGGGCCGCTTGCAGTGCGAGCCCAAGCCCAACGCAGCGTCCATTCCTCGCGGCGGCTACCAGCGAAGCTGCAAGGGCTGTGACATGCAGGGCCGCTTGGATGTGGTCGTTACCGTGCGGCCAGCAGCTGTTACCGCTGTTGCCGCTGCAAGGAGCAGAGGAGCTTCACCCAGATTTCATCGGTGACCGATGACATCACGGGATGTTTTGGAGTGGAGAATAGGGGTGAAGGCTTCGGTGAAGACCGATAGAAAACCATAGAAAACCCAGTGAGACATCACTGGTTTGACATCTTGAGACCATTCCAAACCCAGGAGGTCACCAGCGTTGTTTCTGGTTTTTCACCAACGGATGAAGCCGGAGAAGCTCCAGCGCCGGGTGCGTCTCGGGTTTAGGGACTCGACTCCGGAGCTTCGTGACTGCTACAAAACCGGGTGCGTTTCGGGTTCCGGCGCCGACGGAACGGCTTCTCTGGGCGGTGTCTAATGACTGATAGCTCCTTAGAGACATGAACCACCCCCGCACTGCGCGGGCTCCCTGGTATGGTTGGAAGCATTGAAACAGGATTTCGCCGAGGTCAGTCAGTCACGTAAAGACTTGATGTGTCACTTAGTCAGTCACACTCCTTAGCGTTTCGTTTCACCTGGACATGCTGACACGTTCCGTTCGATGGTGGCGGGAAGTGATAATATGAGTGCCAGGAGCTGACGTCACGGGTTGCTGCCTCGAGCAGCTGCCTCGCACAGGAAATCAGACAACCACACTGTTCACAGACAAACTCCTGCCTCTCAGGCGATGTGCTCCACTGCAGCCATTGTGGCACAGCCTCCGGCAACCAGGCAGGACGTCGAGGGGAAAACCAGACGGAGCGGCGGGTGGAAGGGCTCGACGTGCGTCCAAAAAAAACACACATGTGGGTTTGAATCGGGTTTGAACATGGTTTGAACAAATCCGACGTGCCACCACATTAATGATATAAAAGTGTGTTGAAAAAACAAACAAACAAACAAACAAACATAATTCCATTGTCTTTTTTCCAGTGTGTTTTTCCATCTCCCAAACGATGGGCAACCCACCCCTAAGAATCCTTGACCCCTCCATGGCAGGGGTGGGACCCGAACCCATAGGAATGGGACCCGAACCAAACCCTTCCCATTGCTTCGGGGCTGGATTCCGAGGGGCAAATCCACCGATCAGTCTTTGGGGAAGTGTCCTCACTTATCCCAGATCATCCATGGGTTTGGAATATGCCATGACGAGCCCTTTTCAAGCACCCCAACTGATTGGTACATAGGCCAGCCCCAGACACGTCGCGTTCGGGATCCCAAAAACCTCTGACTCAACCCGACGCTTCCCTCAGGTGCCCGCCAGCTTCGAGGTCCTACGCTGCCCAGCACCTGCTGAACTGGACAATGACAATGGCCGGCTGACGTGTCGAGGTGTCCCTCGGAGAAATGCCCGGTGTGAGGAGCCCAGAGGTCACGGGGAGCCCAGAGGTCACAGGGAGCCCAGAGG